TACCCTTGTTGCCTGCATTAAGAGAGGTAAAGGCCTCTAATTGTGCTTATAAAAAAAATGGAAGAGAAAATGTTTTACTAAATATTTCAACATTTTCTAAATACACACATTAGCAACATGACATGAGCCGCCATGGAGCAACAATCAGACATCTGTCAGCTGCTGTCCATCATGAAGTAGAGCCACTTTTTGCCATGAAAAAATAAACGGTTTCTCAACACTTTCGTCTGCCTTGGCTCTGCAGCATTAGTTTTTTTCTGAGCTTTTATTTTCTTCTTCTTTTTTTTTGTTCTTATGCATCTGCCTTCGGTTTTACTGTTAGCCACGCCAACATCATTGAGCAATCAGATCATGTCCATTGCACATTTGGTGGGTCGACGATTGCAACTTCACGGTGACTATGGTAACTCGCCGTGTGCCTTACGTGGCTTTATGTGGCACTAAAATAGCCACTTAGCTTGTCTATGGCCTAATGATAATTGTTATTTTTGCTTTTTGGCATTTGGAGAAAGACCAGGTAAATATTGAATTTAAGACAGACAAAAAACGAAAAAAAATATAAAAATTTGAATGAGCACAAAATAAAAAACCTATACAATCTATTATGAGCTTTGCTCCTATATTATTAAATTTTATTTTACTTAACTAATGTCAATTTTTGTTTTTATTTATTGTTTCTTAAGTAGATATTATTTAAATTAAAATATTTGTATGCTTATTTCAATTTCATTAAATCTATTTTTGTTTATTTGACATTATTTTATTATATTTTATATAAATTATTGTTATTTCATTTTTCTTATTATTTTATTTTTCTTATTTTATGTTTTTATTTTTGCATTTTGTTTTTTTTTTATTCATTTTTTTTTGAATTTTCTTTTATTATATTTAAATTTATTTTTTTAATTTTTATTTCACCTTATTTCATTTAATAGTCCTTTATTTTTCTATTCTAATTCATTTTATTTTACACTTTTTTCAATTTTATTTTCTTTATTGTTTTGTGCTCTATTAGTCCTCCGGTGTGCCATACGTGGCCAATGAAGTTATTATCAGAAAGCTTTACGCCACAGAACGTACTTACTAAAGTATCTACTGATCTGCTCAGTTTTTGAAATGAAAATTCTTTATTTACCCCAATATGGTTTTTACTTACATATTTATATATGTTCCTGTTCTGTGTCTGAGTGAGCACACCAAAAGAAAAGTGAGTGATTCACCAATTATTACCTTAACTATAGCAGCCTGTCCTTCAAACTCATGTATATACCCACAAAGAGATCCAAATGTGTATCTGTGTGCATGTGTGCTCATTGCTCATATGATGTGCTCACAATGAGCGAGTTTAATGTTAAAAGTTTGCTCACATTAAGTATCAGTGCAAGTTTATACATATACCCCAAAAAAAAAGAGTTTTCATGTACTTGCCCTGGAAAACTTAACTCGTAGTAAGTTAGCTGGAAAATAGTTATGAACTTTTATAAGCACTTTATAGTAATTGCTGGTAGGTCTGTTGCTGCTTGCATTCTGTGTAATTTCATTCTCTCTTTCCTTCTGCTTAGCTGCTGTTTTGCTATTTGACATTGTCTCCTTTTGCGCCTGCTGCTTTATCTTGGTAATTTTATACTAAATGAGAGTTTGCAAAAGCATATGTGTTCATAAGTATGATATTTGTACACATAAATGGTGCCTTGCAACTGCTTTCAGAATTTATCCCAATCTGTTCTCTAATTTAGCAAATCAGTCAATATGTTTTATGTTCATTGCCCATTTTCACATTAAGATAACTATTTGGAATTTTTGTCTTCGAGTATTTATCATAAAGAGAGCACTTTAAAAGAGCCGCTGCGGCTGAATGCATTTCTGAAGCATTTCATTGTGAAAACTCACTACAATAAAAGCGAATTTAAAGTTTTTTTGTCGATATTTTCAATTTTGAATTTGAAAACGTTTTTCATTTTATTAGTAGCGCTAGATAAATATTTTGTCTTGTGTTGTTATGGAAAATTTGAGACTATTAGCTTGAAGATATGCACAACAGTTCTTCGAAAAATTTAGTCTTGCTCACGGGTCAATCATTTTTTCTTTTATCGCAATTATTTCTTCTGCTAGATTAGTTTTTTTTTGACACTTCAAATTATATCTCCACATGAATTATATTATTAATTTTATTTATTTACACTTAACGATAACAGTAATGAAGCTTTGATTACCTTTCATTCAACTTCAATGACTGAACAACAACAACTTTGACAGTGCATATATATGTTTAAGAAAGCTGTGCAATAACGAGCATATTTTTTTTTAACCGCAGGCGACTTGATTGAGTTTTATTGAATTTAAGCACGCTGACAAATAACAAATTCAATTTCCAAGGGAAAAGAAAATCACATACATAAGAAAAAAATAATGCCAAGAAAATTGCAATCCGAGAGATAAAAAATTAGAAATGTTTACTGCTTTTTCCATAGCGTCAGCACTGCTCTAGAAAATTAAGTGTTTAGTACAAATCTATAAATATCGACTGTATTTACGTTACGTAATGAGTTTTTTATATATTTTTAAACTATATACTTTAAAAACTTTTCTAAAAAAAATTCACAGCAAAAATCTAATGACTAAAGCGCTGAAGGCAACGCACCAACAGGTACTTTTTTAATATAAATCATTTATTTTTTAAGTATTGTGATTTCAAGTAGTGGCTATTTCCTTCAGATATCCATTTATTTATACAAAGAAATTATAAGAAAAAAAACAAAAGGCATATACAATATGAATAAAGTTATTTAATTATTAAATGTAATTGATATTGTAATTCATAATAATTCATAACACTGTGCGTATGTATGTATGTGTGGTCGTGTTTTTAAATGAATATTTAGTTATATAAAGTTTTTTATAAGTATGTTAAGTAGTACAAACGACAAATAATTTGAATTTTAAAAAATTCAAATTTATTTGGAAAGTAGAAAATAATTTGGTTAACACAAAAAAGTTGATTCAAAAATGCTTAATAAAGAATGATTACATTATCTGAAATAAAAAACATTAAAAAAATGTTTAAAGCTTTTAGTCAAAACGGGTATACAAAAATGTACAGATATCATTAAAATAATAACAAAATAATTAAGTTGAAAATACAAAAAACATAAAAGCTAAGAGACTGAGAAATATTAAATTTCAATTTAAAACTATTTGATAAATTGGTATATTTAAAATTGCAACAACAAATAAGCAAAAAAAAAGTAATTATAAAAAAAATTAAAAAAAAAATATTTTTCCAAACTTTGATATACAATAATTTTCATTCAAAACCTCAAGAGAAACATATTCCCTTATTTAATTAAATTTCATAACTTTTTATTAATACTTTGAATTTCACCTAACTAAGTTTTTATATTATTTTAATTTTAAATATTTCTAGCATTTCTGAATCAACTTATGCCAAAAGCAAATGTTTCTTCCTAAATGAAAGATCAAAAAACACAAATTACTACTTTAAAACAACATTTATGGCATACAAAATTTTAAGCAACAATATAAAATTTTAGGCAAACATTTATTCGAAATTTTACTAAAGTTACAATTTTTGTCTTTTCTTCTTTTTCTTCCTTTTTTTGCTCTACCAACTCAACCTCAACTGCAAATGAAAACTAAAAAAAAAATTCAATAAAAATTTTTTAAATAATTCAACAAAAATTGGCACAATTTCCATACGAAAATATACATTTCCCCCACCAAAAATGAAAAAAAAAATCATAAAAAATAAAAATCAAAAAACACATGCGCTTTCGACGCATGCAAATTTCCACAATTTCCTTTCTTTTTACGCTCTTATACTAACAATTCAAAATTTATTTTATTTTCTACTGCTTTCTGCTAACATTTTTTTTTTTGAATGTTACTCTTAATTTTACCATAATTCGGAAATACAAAAATGCTCACGCACACGCGCGTTTCCACCGATCTTTAACAAATAATTTTTTTTTTTTTTTATATATCTCTTTTAATTTAACTTTTTTTCTATTTTGAACATTCAACCATAAAACTCGCTCCAATAAAACTCCAAAATTGACATTTCACAAAACGTGAAACTGCAAAAATAAAATTTTCATAAAAAAATATTTATAAAAATGTTTGTTGCGTAACTAAATATCTTGAAAATTCGCAAATAAAAATGTTGAATAAAAAATTTACATAAAAAATCATTATTTGAATATAAATGGACTTTTTATTGCAAATACTATTTTAACTAAATGTTGTAACGTTTTTTTTTATTACCAAATAAAATTTAAAAATAAATACAAATTTTAAATATTTCAAATATATTTAAATGTTGTAATGTTCTGTACTTTGGCGCTCGTTTCAATGTGCATTCGTTACCGTTCGTTATATCGTTGCATTCGTTACATTTTATATACATATAACTATGATTTCCTTTTTCCAAATAATTGTCTATTACTAAATGGGAAAAATCTATGAACGTTTATTGCTCATGCATTATTTTTTCTTCAATTAAATTAACCCCTCATTTTATTTGAAATTTAATTTTTAATTAACGCGTGCCATGTATTTGCTGCTATTTTGTATAACCTTTCCAAATTTTTATAATTTATCTGCTCCAAAAACCTTTACCTACTCTCTTCTCTCTACCTATTGCCTTTGATTTATACTTCCGTATTTAATTTTTTCCCCTCATACTATTTATGATTTTATCCTCCGTTATATATTACTTTTCGTTTCTTCTTCCTTCTCTTTTATTCTTTCCCCTTCCCTCAACCAAAATAAAAATTAAAATAAAAATATAACTTTTTTAATTAAATTAATTGCATTCAATTTGTTCTCCCTAACCCTACTTCCTCCTACTCCCTTATCATTCCCCTCGTATATATTTGTGCCTCTTTTGTAATGGACTGTCACTACTCCTTTTTACACCTGCTACGTATCGCTCGTCGGCTATCGTAAACGTATATCATACATATACATATACTCATGTGTAGAGCATTTAGATCGCAAACTATTCGTTGGTATGCTAAGCAAACAACAAACCGAAGAGGATGTTAGACAAATATTCAGCCCTTTTGGCAGCATAGAAGAGTGCACCATATTGCGTGGTCCTGAAGGCGCTAGCAAAGGTGAGTACACAAGATTAATCTAATTTTTTGATATATTTTGATTATTATTACTTGTTTATGGTATTGTTATTTTTAAATTATTGATGTATGCGTAATATGTGATTTTTTTATTAGATTTTATGAATACAACTTGCAGTGCGTAAGTATAAATGTAGGAACATCAAAAAAAACCTTATGGAAATACTAAAGGAACAGAAAGTTTTGATTAAGTTGTTAGCAAGATTAAAATCGAGGGGATCTAATATTTTGAAATCACAGTCTTTATGAGTTGTCCTTTTTAATTCTCAAAATGCTTCAATTTTTTTTAACGTTTGAGCTTACGAGATTATTGTGGGCGGGCTTTGATTGTATTGAACTTATGAAAAAAAGCATAAAGTTGACGACTTAATAATTAAAGCTTTCGAAGTTATGAGTTCCAAACAATGAAAGTCCAAAATTCCAAAATTCATTATTTATTTCGAATTTCCCCTCATTTCATTCTTCTGTGAATTTTGTTAAATTTATATTTTTTTTTAACACCGCAGTAAGCATTTTGCAGCTTTTAAAAAAAAATTCTAATAACTTTTTTGAGCTTCCACTAAATAACATTCTCCGATTTAGTCTGTCATGGTTGCAAGAAATTAATTGGAATACCTGTAAGCTTAATTAAGTTTTCTTATAAGCTCGCAAGCTTCTTTTTGTGAACTTTTGCAGTGTGCTTTAAATGTTTGTAAGCTTTCATATATTTAATGTTTTTCTAGTTGTAGAGCTTTCATTTGACTGAATAAAGATTCTCTCAAGTTTTCACTTTCTCTGAGACAAATCGTTCTTTAATTTTATATTTTGTGTCAAATATTAAATACATTTGGCATAGAAAATCCACACGGTATGCACTTTTATGCTCGAAACTACTATCGTATCTACATATTTATTAAGAACATAAGCTTTTAATTTGATTCTCTCAATTAAAAGAGCTTTAGTTTTCTTGCTTCAATTGTGAAGTGCTTTCACCTCAGCTGTAAGCTTTTTATCAAAGGAATGGGCATAATATTAGGTGAATGCGTTGCACTGATGTTTTCAAAAAAGGCAAAACAAAATCGAAACTCTTAAATAATTGATCATTCTACACCGTGTCAAGCAACTTTTCATAATTTAATAAATTCCATTTAAACCTTATTTATAAGCACTAAAACCGCATGCATTCAACACAAATAAAAAAGGCGAAAATAAAAACATTGAAAAAGTTTCCCGTTCATTGCCTCTCAAGCAAGTCATAGTTAATGTTTGCGATTTTACGGTTATTGAGTTGCTCACATAGTCATGCATACATATGTGTGTGCGCATGCATTTCTGCGCAGACACATAACCATAATCACCAATAGTTATGATAATTGTTGCTACACTTGTTTGTTATTATTCCGTCAATGTTTGCAATATGGCCGCTGCTACCATTACCATCACAGCGTATCTACCGATAATGATGTTGCCATTGATATGCAATACCAAACAGCACTGTCCTACAATAACAACATTGAACAACAAAAAACGCAAACCAAACAACAACTGAAGCCAAACAGGCAGCAGCTGGTGCATTGAACCAAATAATAATCACAAAACATAACAATAACAATTACATATACTACATACATATACTCGTATATGCACGATGTGGAGCAATCAATGTAAACACAAACGGCACATACATAAACACACATGCAAAAGCGCATACAAATTTAAACATTTTTATAAAAATGTAGTAAACAGTTCAATTAAATGGTTTGGTTGTGTCGCATAACAAAAAGAGCAAAAACCTGGACAATCAAATGCAACACTGATTATGAGATGTTGTTGTTATTGTCGTTTGACTACTTGGTCACATGGTTCATTGGGCTGAATGTGGGGCGACCGAGCATTCAAGTTATACAGGCAGCTAAGTACCCGCTTGTTTGCTCGCACTTCATCTCTCTCTTGCTATCTCTCCCTCTCTCGTGCATGGTTGACTTTTTGGTAAGCAATATTTACAATGCGGCAGATACACACACAAACAAATAAACGGCACTTGTATAAAATTTTATTTAATGTGATGCCAAAGTTAAATATTTAAATGTGTTACTACCACAATGCCTTGCAACTCTGGGATTTTTTTTGTATGTAGTAGCATACTTTTGAGCGCGACTGTGCTGTTGTGCAATAACATTTTATTTTATTGTGTCAAAGTTTGAAAATTATTCCATTTTAGTTGTATTTTATTCGTTTTTTATACTTTAATTTTGTTTTGCAATTTTTTAAATATTTTTATTATCTTTCTGTTGTCATTGTGCACATAGTGATTGCATATCTGCTACTCTTATTTAATTTATTTTTTATGCGTTTTACACATTTTTATGTATTTTATATTTGTTACGCATATTTTCTGGTATTTTTTAAGCTGTTTTAAGCTTTTCAAAAGTTTTATTCGAAATTTTTTTGTAATCACAAGGACAGTTTGTAACACTTAATACATAAAAATTTTAAATCTTCTTGAATTTTTTGTAAACTTTTATTTAAATTTTTCTTGCCCTAATTTTTGCAATTATTTTCATAGTATTTTTGGTTAGGACTAACTTACAAAACTATTTTTTTTCTTTTCATATACATATTTATTTATTTTTAATTTTTACTTTCTTTGGGTGCCCTGTTCCTCAGTTTTTTCCATTCGTTTTAAAATTTTTATTTAATTTACTATTTTGAAATTATTTTATAATAATTTTTTATATTTTTTATTTTATTTTTTCATGACTTCCATTTACTCCTTTATCTATACCTATTTTCGTTTACCTTTTTTCTTTCAACCTTTTTCTTCAATATCACCTCATTTACGTTAAATTAATTTTGAAGTTTTTGAATGCCTTCCAATTACAAAAAATACAATTTTCAATTTTTTTTAATTTCTATACGTTTTTTCATACATTTTTCTTTTTTTTAATTTTTATTCTTTTCTGTGTATTTTTTTATTTAGTTATTTTTATATTTTGTGGGATTTCGTCTTTTCATGATGAAACAAAATTTAAAAAACTGTGTTCTGTATATATTTGCATTTTTTAATGTACATAATAATATTGACTTATTTTATGTTTTAGTTTTAAAAATTTCGTTTTTTATAGGCCTTTAATTAATATGTTTTTATTAATTTTTTTACTGCTATTTTTATAAATTTTTATCACATTTTATTTGTCTAATTTCAAAAAACTAATTTTTTTATACATTCTCTATATATGCATTTTCCATATACAAATTTTTTTTTTATTTCATTATTTTTTCATACTTTTATAACAAAATTTTTTTTCCCCTCTTTTTCGCATGAGCTACGATAATTTTTCTGACATCACCTTATATTCAGTATTTAATTTGCTTTCATTCTTTCTTTGTTTATTATCATTATACTCGTGTACTTTTTTATTATTGTTCTTACTCAATTTAGTTAGTTGTTTGTTACGCTCATTGCTGAACTTTTTGCATATGATAATACGCTCATTGTATATTTTATTTGACTTTTTCTTTCGCTGTTTCATTTTATCTTGTCTTTTTTTTTTTTTGTGCAACTTTGTTATTGCAGCTGCTATTGTTTTCATTGCTCTGCTCATATCTAATTTTTACGAGTATATGCTTTCATTTTAATGTTTACTTTTGTTTAAATTTTTGTCATTTTAGGGAAATAAATTATTTTGCATTAAAATGTCATTTTAAGAGAGTTTGCTAAACAAAATACCTTTTTTATTTTTATTTTTTTGCATATTAAATAGGCATTTTGAATATAAACTAAATTTATATTCGTATAAAAATTTTCGAATTTCAAGACTTTTTTGATGGAATACAAATGTATGTGCGAACATAGAGCTAGCTCGATAAGAGCTAGCAATTTTTCTTCAGTATCCTACATCCTGATTAAATTTTTAGAAAATTCAAAAGCTTCAAAAAGGTTATATGACCAGTTCTTGGGATTTGTCCTTCGCTCTTCAAGCACGAATAGAGTTCTGCCCTTAAAATAATATCTTATATTTTATTTTTTTCAAACAAAAATTCTAAGACTGCATACAAAGTTTTTCTAGTAATAAAATCTCAGTAACCAGCTGGTAAACTCACTTTTAGTTTTTGAATGCAACTAATTTATTTAAATGAACCAAAAGCTTTCAAAAGCACAATCCTTAAACCAGCGAACGTCAAATCATATGTGTTTCATAAAACCCTTATGCAATTTCAAAAAGTCCTGAAACCCACTCATTCCAAAAGCGCTTTCGAAAAACATGTACTGTGAGGGTAGACAGTCCATCATTTAAGCACCAAATGCGCGCCGCACATGCACGCAGTCAATCGTACGGCAATAGATATGTATGTATGCATGTCTGTATGTGACCATTTAAATGCACAAATACTCAACACACTGTCTATCATTCATTGCCATGCACTTCATTCATTCATAGAAATCAAATTTGCATAATTTAACATTTCAACTGGCTTGCCGACTTGGCTATGGTTTGCTATGGCTGGTTAGGCGGATTGGCTGGTGGCTTGCCTGCTTGGTTTTCGTTGCTTGCATTGCGGTTTTACGATTGTGACTTTATATACCAACACCAGCAACTGATGGCGTTAGCAAAGCAAAAGACATCAAAAGCTCAATGCCAACATCAGTGCTTGGATGTCACTCCATTTGATTTTCCTTTCCAAGCAAGCATATGTATGTAGGCACATTTATAAAATGCTCACTTGTCGTGGCGCTGCTTGTTGATTGTATTGTATATTTGATTGTCAGTTGTAGTACATTGAAAATTTGCATAAATTTACGTACGTTGTGTGGCAAACTGTGGGGAGCTCTTTTTTACGAGGCGAAAGCATTGAGCATTGAGTCGTATTAATATATACTTACACGCTTCTGTATAAGGGTGTATGTGTTATAATGAGGCTTTTATGCGCGCACACTTTCCTTCCCATAATATTTTACATTTGTACTTCACAACATTCTTTGCTTACTATCACTCCTATTG